TTCTATATCTTTATTGATACTAGGTAATGACAGTTTAAAAAATTTTAGCCAGTCTAGTGGACATATACTAGGTCCCTGAGGGGCACAAACAGTTTGCACTTGACTACTTTCCTAAAGGTTGGCAGGTCAAACCCACCCAGCAGTGGCATGGAAGAAAGGTCTGTCAATTCGCTTCCATAAAGATTACAGCCAAGAAAACCCTATGGAGCAGTTTTATTCTGTAACAAGTGGGGTTGCCATGAGCTGGAATCAACTTGATTGCAATTTTTTTTTGTTTTTCCAGTGGACATGTAGCGTTATCTAGTAGTTTCTATTTGCATTTCATTACTACTGGTGTTGAGCACCTTTCGGTATGCGGTCTCTGCTTTTGTGAAGTGCTTGGTCAAGTCTTGCTCCATTAAAAAAATTGTGTTATTGTCTTTTTCTTTTTGATTTGTACGAGTCCTTTATCTACCTTCTAAGTATAAATATTAAAAATGACTCTGTCAGATATACTTGTTGCAAATAGCTTCTCCCAGTATGTGACTTGTTTTTTCACTCTTTTAAGGGTATCTTATGATGAATCAAATGTTATTAATTTTAATTAATCCCAAATTTTCAATATTTTTCTCTATTAGTGTTTTTGTGTCCTTTTAATGTAATCTTTGTCTACCCCAAGTTCATAAAAATAACTTCTTATATTATCTTCCAGAAATTTTAATATTTTTTGCTTTGCACATGGGAAAGCATCTAGAATTGGTTTGTTTTACCATGTGAGATCGAGATTAAGATTCATTTTTCTCCATATCAATATCTAATTGCTTCAAAACCATTTATTGAAAAGATTATCTTTTTCTCTTACAGTGGTAGCTGTGACATAAATTAAGTGACTGTCTATGTGTGGAGCTGTTTATATTTATGCGAATACCATACTGTCTTAATTACTATAGCTTTACAAGCATTCTTGTTATCAAGTAGTTCAAATCTTCCAGCATTGCTCTTCTTCATGATGGACTTAGCTCTTCTTGCCCTTTGTATTTCTATACAATTTTAGAATCTGCTTGTCAATTTCATGAAAGTCTCCTGATATTTTTATTGAGATTGCATTGAGCCTATAGCGTTATTAGTATAGAATTCCTATCATAATTTTGAGGCTTCCAGTTCCCCAACATATATATTCCTCCATTTAGCCACTTCTTTGGGGCCCTGGTGGTGCAAAGGTTAAAGCACTTGGCTGCTAATGGTTTGAACCTGCCAGCCACTCCGTGGAAGAAAGATCTGGCAGTCTCGTTCTGTAAAGATTTACAGCCTTGGAAACAACATGGGGCAGCTCTACTCTGTCCTACAGGGTCGCTGTGAGTCGAAATCAGCTCAGTGGCAGTGGGTTTGAGTTTTTTGTTTGTTTTGTTTTGGGGCCCTGAGGCATCCCAGACTGCCCTATGCCTGCAGTGCCTGGTGCTGGGCCAGTTGC